AAATAAAGACCAACATTCAAAACCATCACTCATTCCACAAAAAAAGAGCTGCGGTTTTCTCTACTTTAAATTGAAGACCCAGACGCATATATAAGTGCTGAAATTTAAGTGACCAGCACTGAACCATACAGAGTAGTTCTTGGTGGATACTTGAAAAACGGCATTGTGGATCCATTTTTACAAAATAACCTTGATGGTTAATTGGATTAATTATTAAAAGAAAATTCTTCTCTTTTGATCTACGTAAGGCGGACATTGCTAGCTTCTTCAATTCAAGGGTTATCCGGGTTTTTTTTGAGACCTTAGGTTTCAATCAATTGATCTGTGACCATCGAAAAAAGCATGTACACAGAGATAATTCACCATTATGAGTTGAATGGCGATATTTGTTTTTGAATTCTCAAAATGATCTGACATTGTTATTTCTGTAATTTTCAAAGTTTCACAATCTGTCACTATATAGCATAATAAGGCTACACGTCACAAATATTGAGATAAGAGTCAGATCATTTCGAGTCGAAAAACAAATGTCTGTATTCGATTCAGCATAGTGACTTACTCCTGTCTAGGCGCTTTTCCCGATGGTTCCAGGCCGATTAGCTGAAATCGTAAGTCTCAAGAAAACTCTTATAACTCTTAAATGATATCAGCTAGCATTGTCCACCTTGTGTAGATTGAAGGAGAAGAATTTTTCCTATCAATTAATCGAATGAACAATCAAGGTTTCAATTTCAGCACTTATATATGCATCTGGGTCCTTCCATTATAATAGCAAAAAAAACCACAACTCTCTATATTGTTCCTATATAAAGTTATTCACAAAATACTGTTTTCGTTTACTGCGAAAAAGAGTTTGTCTTTGTTCAAATATCTAATTTCTTTTGTGCAAATATCAAGCTAATGTCAATATGTTGTTCTAGAAGTACAATCACAGTTGAAAATACAACTATTCGTAAGTCCATCAATTTTCGTTATTCATCTTTTATTTCAACTTGTATTATATGTTTTACTTTCCAGAAAACAATACATCATTCGATATGACTGTCGTTATCGTACCAGTAACAGTCATTCCAATTTGTTGTTGCTGTTGTTTATTTTATGTAATTAAGTTAGTAAAAATATCGAAAATAAATCAATAAGTTCACTGATAAGATCTAAACCCTGTCGTGCAATTCACACTGAACGAGACAGAAAATCTGTGATTACGTACATGATAGAAGGAGCTTGTTTTAATAAATCTTCATTCATAAGTGGAAAAAAATATGAAATCAACGAAAACGATAATCACAATAGTGGTCCATTGACCGATACATCCTATATAACTTTCGTCGACAAAAGTATGTGTACAGAGTCTCTATCAGTTACTTCTTTCTTAACAATAAACAATGATCATAATTTATCTCCGGCCTTCAAGAATAGAAATATACCAGTCACACTCGATACAACATTTGACAATATTGATGGACATAAAATGATGCGCTATCATCAACCTATTCCATTGTTGTTATCAGTTTCTAATAATGTACAATCATTATCGAATCGAATACAAGATACAAGTGATAATAGTCAAAAAACAATAAACTACGATCGTTATTCAGTACAGTAACACTCAACTCAAATGGATACATCAAATGTATCACTTCTTATCAGCAGTGATATTAATAGAAATAATATTCAACAAAAGAACGATCCATTTCAATTTACACCATCGTCATCACAATCAGCATTCCTATCGAGTCGTTATTTTCCATCGAACAATCAATTATCAGCATCTAATGTTTAACAAGATAGCACAGTATAGACAAAATATTCCCGATGAGTTCCTCGTCTCTCACAAGCCAAACAAATTCATACTCAGTCATTTATCCGTAATCGTTGAATGAATAAAGAACAGCCACAGGATAATACATTCGCATCCAGTAGATCTACTATTAAGACAATACCACGTTATGTCTTCTTTTATGAATAACAATTTCTTATACACTGTTGATTTTTTCATATTTAAACATGCTGTCTTATTGGATTTTGAAAATAAAACACATAACTAGAATTTGATATTACATTTTTTAAAAAATTCATCATATTCAACCTATGAAAAATGAACAGTTTTGTATTACATTCTGACATAATTTGTAATGTAAATGTAGTTATCAAAATCTTCACCCATGGTTCTCCTCTCAGAAACATCGTAACGAGGTCATTCTTCTTCTGATTATGATGCCAAAAAAGCTCTGGCAACTTCTGTTCTCTTCAAACGTATCTTTTGTATCCTGCCTATGGTTTTTTTGTTTACTTATAACAGATTACCCTTGAAATTAAATATTAGTAGAAAATAGAAGTGTTTTTATCACTCTTTCAGATAATATATGATAAATGATGTTTTAATCCGCTTTACGATATGAGCTTTACAAGTTTTTCATTAATTTTATAAAATAGGTCATTTGACTAACGAAATAGTTTCCAGGTGCTCAAGAGACGCTTCATGAGAATACCAAGGATTGGCTCAGTATACGAGGTTGAGGGGGAATCGGTGGATTTCGAAGATTTCGAATCCTTGAGAATCCAAAAGAAATCCTCGGAATATTGCAAATAGGATAGAAATCCAAAGAATACAATATTAGCACTTTACAGATACAATAACAATATGAATTTGCCTCAAGCAAAACAAATATACTTGCATTTTCTAAGTGCTTTAACACTCAGTTCGTTGAAGATAACATGCTGCGATATGTTAATCATTTGCAAAATACATCCTGTTAGAAGATTTAGAATCATTGTAGCAGCATGTATAAGGAAGATCGCACACCGCAGATGATCTCGTTGTATGCTTACTGATTTGCTTAAGCTATTAATCTCAATAAGGAAATGAAAAACGAAGATTTATATGATAAAAAGCTGAGAAAGGAATAGTTTATACAATGTTAAATATCAAACTACAGGTCATTCCATTTATTTTGAAACGATTTGCATGTTGTTTTTCTTGGCTGATAACTGAGAAAGATCTGATGATTCTCATATCACTTGATACTCATAATACGCAACATGTTGTTATGATGTTTATATTTTGCATAAGCGAATGTCTCGTAATAAAATATCTGATAATATGAAAGGTATCGTCAAACGTCTTTTGAGGAAAAAGTATTCATTTTCTGTGATCCATCAAGAATTGTCGGAAATGAGTTTAAATGTATCAGAGAGTACCATCGGTCGTATTGC